GAGTTTAAAAATAATTAACAGTGTGAATAACCAGCCTGCACGAACAAGAATGTGTTGTGAGGCCAGTAACATATTGTGGCCACAGTTGGAATTGCAGGATCATCTTTGCAGTTGACACAACAGAATGCTCCAAACTAACAGGTATGATAAAAGATACAACAGGGGTCGGTCATACATTCATGTCTTTGTAAAAGAGATAATCTGCTCAGACATGACTACTACTGTGTGCACTGTATACTTGTAAAAACCTGCATTTTCACAGTAAGCTGAAAGCAACCAGTGTCCCTCCCTCTGCCTCCTCAAGTATTGTACTGTACACAACTGAGACAGTCTGTCTCAAATTTTCATTTCCAGGTTCAGGTTTTGTTTGCTGCGATTCCATTCCTCCTGTTCATACTGGTTAGGAAGATTTCAGTCTCAGTGTTACCAATATTTATCTAAAGATTCTTCTGTAGTCTGAGTTAATCAGGTGGGTATGTAGTTAGTCTTGGTCTTTTTAGCATGAAATTCTTTCTTTGTGTTTTTTAGGACAGCGCTTCTTTGTTAAACTGCAGTGGAGGGATATTAACATGGAAATTAACAAGGAAAATGTAATACTATAAAAACTCCCTGGTGCCATAGGGGGGCAACATGACTTTTTGTTCCCCCACTTTCAAGTGTTATGGTAACTTTATCAACTTATGGCCAACATTACTGTCCTTCAGAGGCTGTAGCGGGCTCAGTTTACTAGCTAAATATGAAACTTGAAGACCTAAGGAATTCAATGATACCAACCATGTCAAGCTAGGTTGCTAAGTTCTTTGGGTACCCACGGGTCTCCCCTCTATACACACCTGCCGACTTTATGTTAATCACATGCATTTTTTTTGTATGCAGTATAAATATTTGTTTAAATATTAGGGTCCATAAGCAGTGTTGGTATTGCATTAATTGGTTATGACTGGAAAGCTGAAACTCTTTGATCTGAGTCAATGAGCCCAATTATATTAATGTGTGATGTTTGTCCCTATAGTAGCATTTCATTGTTATGAGATCATTTTTTTTAAACTTGACCTCGCTGTATAAAATGAGTTATTGTGACCTCTGGGATAATCACAGCCTCATGAAACTGTACAACCACCACTTAGAAGCCGAGGTCATCCAGAGGATGGATGGTTTTTCTAGATATACTGACACCACTGATTTCTCACCATATTTCAGTTGTAAAAACTGTATGACTGATTGACTTGATTTGGCTAACTTGGACTATGAATATTGTCTCCCATCTCTTCCACTGGAAGCATTTAGGAAGGGATATCCTAATGGCCAATATGAACAGGAGGAATGCTTACAGCAAGTACAATGCGTTTGAATGTTTACACAGCCACTTGACTATAATTGTTTAAAGACAGACATCTATCCTTTAAGCCCACACTTAACACAGCCCAGCCTGGTCCTGATAGCCAAACATTTACAGCAGAACCAAACTTGAAGCTGCTGTTTTAATATCCCAAATCTCCTCCAACCCTTTCTATTTCTCTCTCTCTCTCCATCTCTCTCTCTCACACACACACAAAAATCCTGAGGGTAGACCAACCAGAGCCTGAAAACACATTTAGTGCAGTAAAAGTCTTGCGTTCTTCTATACTGACTGCTCTATTATTGAGAATTTCACAATCAAACAGTGATTGTGGAGAGAACAAAAGGAAATAACACTATTTTCCTTATTAATACAGTACTTCTCCACTAATAAAAATACTTTATATTAATACTGAATAAAAAAATGACTATGCCTGAAAAGGGTCACTCACAGTGATAAACCCATAGCCCTACAGAACTTTTCAGCCTTTTTTTTTTTGTTCATAGTTTTGGTTTTCTGGCCTGTCATCAGCCTTCTTTCCAGACTAGATTAATTAATTTTAATCTGCCTATAGTGAAACCGACAAGCGCAAAGAGACACTAGGGCACCTTGATCAATCAGTAGAGATTTTGATAATGAGTTTACAACATATAAACAATCTAACAGTTATATGTGCAGATTGGGCAAGAGCAGAGCATTATTTGACTCTGAGGTCCCTCTGTCTGTAGTCACCACTCTTCAGTCTCACTCAATGTCTTGCTGATTGGTTACACATCACAAATACTAGCCTATCAATATTGATGGCTGCTGTGCCACAGACGGGAAAATGAAAATAGTGAAGTACCTCAAAATTGTACCTAAGTACAGTACTTGATTAAATGTACTCTAGTCTAGTGTTTATTTTTATTTCAGTTAACTAAAATGTTCTTTCACACTGTTCTGTTATTTTTAGTTAACTATAATAACCTAAGAAACTGAAAACTGACTTTTTAAATTACAATTTTTTAATGATGTGACCATAACAAAGTCCCATTCCCTTGTGCTGGCAGATATCTTCAAACCAGGGCAAAAAATAGATAAAGCTACACTAGAGAGAATGTGTTTGTCACTTGAATGGCCGGATCCTTTAACATTTACCATTGCCTTCAACTCATGAAATGCGGCACACATGTCAGTCGTGGCGAAAAATTTTATATTCTATGCGTCGCTTTCGGGTTGGCCACTAGGTGGCGCTATTATCATGAAAATTGTGTTTAGGCTAATAACTTATGCATAGTTTGTCGCACATTCAAAAACCTTTATATCCACACGTTCGGTGAATGGAGCTGAATCTCCCTATATAGGCCACGCCCACTTCCGCCTATAATTTTTTTCCGTTAGAGCGCGAAATGTCCTTAAACTACTTTTTCGTGTTCCTCCTACACGCTTTGTCCGATTCGCACAAAATTTTTCACGTAGCACCTGGGGACCGTCCTGGCAAAAATAATATTTGAAGAATTTTGATATTTAAAAAAATATGCACACTATAAAATTAGCACTTCC